TAAAGAGATTAATTTATCCTTTGAGAGAGATTTCAAATAACTAGGTTGAATGACTACCTCATCATCATGCTTTGCCATTAGACAGAGATTGGCTACTTCATCGTCTGTGTGTTCCTGTTCCTCTTCTTCGGAACTTGATTCTCCCCACGTGGAAATCATTGCTTTCCTGAAATTTGTTTTAGAAAAGTTAGGCTTGGAGTTTCTGTTTTGATCAGCTTCTTTTCCCTTGCCTTTCTAAGATTCCCATAGTGGACACTCTTTGATGAAGTGGTTGGTGCTTCCACATTTGTGACAAGAAGACTTGGCTTTGAATTCCTGATTTCTTTTACTGTATCCTTTCTTCTTGTCTGAGAATTTGTTGTTACGGTAGAATTTTTTCAGCCTTCTCACCAACATTGCAGCTTCTTCTTCATCAATGTCAGACTTCTCTTCGGATTCTTCATTAGCTCTTAGTGCTAGCCCTTGACTTTTGACAGTCTCCTGAGTCCGATTGTTCGACTGGATCTCGTGGGTAATGAGGGAACCCGCAAGCTGTTCTAGATTGAACTTGGTGAAGTCTTTTGATTCCTGCACAGCTGCAACCTTTGCTCTCCATCTGTCATTGTCTGGAAGACTTCTTAAGACCTTTCTTACCTGCTCATCTATAGGAATTATCTTACCAAGACACGTTAGTTCATTAGTAATACTTTTAAATCGAGTAAACATGTCTTTAATGGATTCTTTGTTTCCCATTTCAAAGCGCTCATACTGAGATAAAAGAATGTCTATTTTGGAACGTTTAACATCTGACGTTCCTTCATGTGTAACTTCCAGAAGATCCCAAATTTCCTTTGCGGATTTGCACCCTTTGACACGAGTATGTTCATCGGGTCCAAGTCCCCAAATTAGAAACTTTTTGGCAGTAGCATTCATTTCTAATTTTTCGAAATCAGTTTTTTCATATTCATCCATAGGTTTAGGGATTACCTCATTGTTAGCATTCGTTTTCGTAATTTCGTAATCTCCTACTTGTATAATCCGCCATACCTGATAATTCTCTGCTTGGATAAAGATTTCCATCTTATCCTTCCAATAAGGATAATATTTGCCGTTGAAGTATGGAGGCCTTTGAATGGATGTACTCCCGAATTCCTTTTCCTCTGTGTAAGCCATTTTCCCAGGAACTCACTCAACAGGGTTGCCTGCGTGCTCTGAGTTCCCGCTCTGATACCAACTGAAAGTCTAACTGGCTAATACAAGAGGGGGGTGAATTGTATTTGAGGTGAAATCTAAAAACTTTTGCGGAATTTAACTAAATGAAATAATGACGAGAGAAGATATAGGCTTTTCTAAATTTCCACTATGTAATCAAACTCTTTACAAGTGAAGATTCAAACCCGTTAACAAGTTCCACAAATTAGGAACTTGTTCCCAACTCTCACAGAAGCATTCAGCAGCGAAGCTTCCTTGACCTCACCTTACACAAACTCACAATCCCAACCCCAAAGTACTTGAATACAATCTGTGATTACAAATACCTATTGCACTCAAGAATATAAGAAGGATAATAACTCTCTTTATGTTATTAGATGGCTACTGGAATTTTTATGCTCAAGAGTTATGTTTTTCTGAGATAGTTTGCATAAGTATTTATAGAGAAGGCTTAGTCATTAACCTCCACTATAATCACGTCCACATGCCAACACCCCACTAACAACTTGTGGAGTTATCTTGACAGATGGTGATCATGAAGAGGTTTCCTAGCCTTATCTCACTAATCCACTATCTCAACAACTTGATAAACATTAGCCGTATAATCAGAGATTTTCACACAGAAAACTGCTTGCTAACTTTATCAAAAATTTGTTTAAAAAGATTATCAAAAGTTTGTTTAAAAAGATTTTATTTGAAAAGATAAATTAATTATTTATATTAAAACAACTAGATAATTATCTTCGATAATTATCTTTATTCGAAAATAGATGACTAAATAAAACTTTTATAAATTATCTTTTCTTTAAGAAATCTTTTAAAACTAACTTTTATTCCAGTAGTCTTTTTAATAACATAAGTCATTGAGTTCCTTTCCGACTTTATATTATTGAGTGCTCACAATTAAAACTAGAACGTGAGATTTGCATGAGGCTTTTTAGAGAATGCTACTCCGCATCCAAGTTCCTACTCCGGAACGAACTTTGCTTGAACCCTTTATTCACCAAAGACTCAAAACATTCGTTAGTCGAGTTTGTCAATTTGTCCATCAAAACCAAAAGGCTCAACAAGGGTTGAACCTTCTTTGGGCTTTTATAATTAAATCATTTATAAATCGACCTAATTGGAGTGAATTGGACCCAAACAATATATAACCAAAATATATATCTACAAAAGTATGTAATTGTGTATGCAGCTGAAGCAATGAAGGTTGCATGATATTATTAAGCTTTTGAATTATATTACTACGTACTCCGGATGTTATTTCTTGTTATCAGATCAATAAACAACTTCTTTTTATATATATATATATATATATTTTTATCTTTAAAAATGCATGCATTTTTTTTAAATTTAATAGTTTGATCATTTATTTCTGTAATCATGCACATATACTTGTATTACGAGTAGTAAATTTAATATTATGAAATATACACTGTGACTAAGCTAATTCAACAACAAATTAGTAGATAATGACATGAAATGTAATGATAAGGTTTTCCAAACTCACAAATACCTATTATTGAGTACATGAGATAGACCTGCCATCAATCTATTGCATTTTACTTCGTATAATACAGAGGGTGTGGTACGTAGCTTGTAGTTAGACTTCTTTACACAAGTGTTTCTCAAAAAAATACAATTTAATTACTTTCTTTATTAATTTTAAAGATAAAAATGCTATCAGAATATCCCATAATGTATTTATTAGAAATGAGTATCACAATAGTATAATACACATTGATGTGATAGTTCAGATTATTTTGAGCAAAATGTATACTACTGTAGTAGTTTGGCTTAGTTTCCACATATCAACAAACCAATAATTATTGGGATGATTATAGATTAATAGCCCTCAAATTTCCTTTTATTTTACACGAAGTAATTTATCTGTTTTCCTATTAATAACAAATTTTGAATGGTTTTACATAATTGATGATTAAAGATTGACAAATGTACATTGAAAAGTGTTGTAAGCCTAAGGGGTCAAAAAAAAAAAACAAAAACAAAAAAGAAGAAGATAAAGTAGTAAAAATTCATGTCATTCTAAAATAAGCATATTCTACATTTTAGATGTCAAATATATTCAATTTCCTGAATTTTTTTTTAACACATTCAATTTCATGATTAAGTAACAGTTATATGTTAATTTTTCTGAATAAATTGTCATAGTTAAATTAATTATATTCTACATTGGAAACAAGTTTTTGGAAACGTAATTCTATTCAAATTAATTAAATAATAAGGCGTCTTTGAAAAATATTTAGAAAACTTATAACTTGAAAACAATACTCCATCTAAACAACAACTAACATTTAAGGATAATAAATAAATATATTAGAGACGTAATTTCACGTAATCTAAAATAGAAAAGCCTGAACAACAACAATAAAATTACAAAAGACGTCATATTTGAAGGTGCAAACTGCAAAGTGCAATTAAAAATTTGCATAGTAAGGCCGAACACAAGAGACCTCTAAATTCTAAAACAAATTTAAGGAAACTTTGTGAAATCCCCCCCAAAAAGTTGGTGCTTTTTGAAAAATACCCCCATTACCTTATTATTATATTTTTTTAGTTAAACATTCAAAGTTTCTTAAGAAGTTAACTAGCACCACCTAATTTACAAACTAGTTAAAATTTTCGTCTTTTGAACCTCACTTCTACTTCTATTTAATTGTCATCACTTCCTTCTTTGTATTCTTCTTTTTTTTTTTTTTTTTTTTTTTTTTACATGGTCATATTTTGATCTTAAAAAATTGAGAAAAAAAAGGGAAAAACACCCCCTCAAAATTAAAACATGAGAGCCCAAAATCTAGATAACACTAAATTGTTCGAAAGAGCCCAATATTAAAGGTATTAAGTACAACTCCAAACATAGAATATCTACACTCTTGAACGGTTGAGTCGCCTGCATTGACTACTTCACTCTCGGCTTATGCTATTGCTTTCCTTTACACGGTGCAAGGATGGATAATCTTTGCACAACACATATGGTCAATATTAGATAGAGTATTGTCTTTTATTATTATTATTATTATTATTATTATTATTATTATTATTATTATTTTTTTTTTTTTTTTTTTTTTTTTAAATTTATTTGTTTTTTTTTTTGTCTAGAATGAAGTTCAGTCAAATTTTTGGCAGAAAATATCTAAAATATGAAATATATATTCTTTAAACTTTTGAGTATATAACATTATTAAAATTATATAGTCTATATTAGACAGAGTAATTTATTTTTGTACATGTCGTGTAGTCTATGTTAATTAAAGCGTTTTTAGTATAAATAAAAGTTTCAAATGTGTACAAGACTAAGAGTCTGTACACGGTGTAGGGCTCAAGCTTTAGATTTATATACTTATTAATTTGCTAGGTAAGAAGGGTTGTCATTGCTCAATTTGGTCCGGATTAGCGGTTTAATTTGGAAGTAGGATAAAGGGTAAGGAAACTTTTTTTTCTTTTTTGGGTACCTTCTCAGTAAGATTTGATCCCACAACCTCTTGTATGATCACCCACCTATCTCCTTGCTTAGCCATTCTATGTTTACCGATCTCTTTGCTCATTCAATCTACAACAGCACAGCACCGCACCGCTCCTCTTCCTCCAACATCTGTTTAGGTCCCTCCTTACATAACATCTTCAACATCTGTCATTTATACAAAAACAACCTCCTTATCCTCTTATGCATGCACCGATCATAAGTGATCATTTACATACATGTAACACTATATATACCCCTATATTCCTTACCATAATTCATACTCAATAACTCATTATCAAAACAAAAACAAAAAAACATAAGAAAAATGATGAAGATGGTGAAAAGCTTAGTGATACTTATGGTGATCATCATGAGCATGCATGTTGGTGGGTACGTGATGGCAGCTGGTGAATGCGTTAGAGGCAGATGCCCCGGAGGACTGTGCTGTAGCAAGTTCGGCTTCTGTGGCAGCGGACCTGCGTATTGTGGAGGTGCGGCGGAGCAGGCTGAAGCTCACCCGGCTTCTGTGGCAGCTGGTGAATGCGTTAGAGGCAGATGCCCCGGAGGACTGTGCTGTAGCAAGTTCGGCTTTTGTGGCAGCGGACCTGCGTATTGTGGAGGTGCGGCGGAGCAGGCTGAAGCTCACCCGGCTACTGATCAAGTATTTGAGACTACCAAAATTCCTTCTGCTGCAGATAAACCTGCATCTCCTTGAAGCTCAATGCAAACTAATGAATGATAAAGCGAGTTTACTGAGTTTACTAATAGTGAACTCGCTTTATTGTGTCTAATAACCATTAGAAACTAGTTAAGCTACAATAAATAACAACTTTCTATCTATGAGGGTTGTTTTTAAGTTATAGTTTATCATCGTGGCTTTGTTGTTTTCAAGTTAGTTGAAGCTTGTAATGATATGTTAATGTTATGTTTTTGTTTTAATATAATGTACCACATAAACGTTTAATGTCATTTCTTGTTACGTTGTTATTAATCAGCCTTTTGTTTAACCACCTTGCTCAGTTGATCACTTGAACAAACATATGAGCTTGATTGGTTTGAGAGGTAGAAAGCATATTGCATATACTCCATGTCTCCATATTTTATTTCAACTAAGTTTCTATTTTGATACTCCAATGACCAATGGTTAAGGGAATAGACTTGCTCGTAAATATCACAAAAGGTTTAGCAAGTGGCTATATACCCAGGGAAGAGACCAATGGTTAGCGAGGTGGTCAACGGAACAGGGCCCCAAATTTGAGGGGCCCCAAAATCTAGATATATCTAATTAAGTTTGGTATAATATCATGAAATTGCAGATGGAGTAGTGGTTAGAGCAAGTATACCGTGTATACAAGATCTTAGAGCAAGTATACCGTGTATACAAGCACTTGAAAAAACTCTATATCTTCCAAAACTCTATATTTTCTTATTTATTTTCTATTATTATCTTCATTTTCTTCAATTATTCAATTAATTTTCAAATTTTTTCATCTCCCAAAATTATTTTTCCCATATTAATTCATAATTTCAACAGTTAAATCTTCAATTTAAGATGAAAGTAATCATTAAACCGTTGTTAATCACCCAAATTTTCCTATATATGCATTTTATTCACTCTTTCAATTTTACAAATAAAAAAGAAATCTTTAAGATAATCTTAATTCCAAAATTCTTTGCAAGTATTGTGAGTATAGGCTATATCGGAAAAAATTTCATCACAAACCTCTTCGGATACAACACCGGATACGACCTTTTGTTAAATTTTAATATCTGGGTATGTTGAATTATTCCTGTTATTTAATTTAAGTGCATTTTTCTGATTTTTATTAACTTTTTTTTTTGTCGATATAGAGAATGTCATCGATGATTTTGCTACAAAACATGCAAAAAGAGCTACTCTTTTTAAGTGATTTCTAGGATTTTAATTTAATTTTGACGAATATTCTGATGTAATGAATTTTTTTATCAAATAAAAATTGGGTATTAAATTTATCGAGTGGAAGGCCCTATTTTGAAAATTTGAACAGGGCCCCATAAATAATTTGCAATTTTAGCCCCGGTACTGTATATACCTTGGATTGTTAAGCTTAATAGAGCTTTGATAAGCAAATTTTAAATTGAGCAACCTTGGAATGTTTTTACCAAGCTAGCTTCATTTAAAAAAAAAAGGTTTTTGTATATATATATATATATATATATATATATATATATATATATATATATATATATATATATATATATATATATATATGCTAAAGAAGTTCTATTATCATCAACTAGTTTTAGCGTAAAATCTTATTTGAACTTACAAGTGAACTAAACTCTCTTCCATTTTATTGTAACTAATCCCTCCGTGTTTTAATAAGTAGTATTACACTTACGGCACATAATTTTAGGCAATTTAATTGACTAAAATAAAATAAGTGGTAAGTGAAGGTAGTTGAAGTATTGAAAATTTTAAAAGAAAGATAGTGAGATTAATAGTTTATTAAAAAGTAATGAATGTGAGTGGAAATAAATAATAAAAAAAGTAGTAGTGTGTTTAGATGGGGGATCTGAAAGGAGAAATATATAATATTAAAATTTAGCTTTTTGTCAAAAAGAAATTGTAACACTTAATAAAATATGAAGGGAGTAATTTTTTTTTTAATTTAATTTTCTTTTGCATAAAAATATGGAGTAAACAAAAATTATGACAGTCTTCTTTCAAAATTTTAATTTAATATACCCAAAGTTGATTAATTATGTATAGTTAATTCAAAGTTTCCATTGTTTTTATTCTCTCTCCAAACCTTAATGTTTTCCTTGTTTAGGGGCTTCCATTCATCAATTTGGTGATGAAAAGACCAATTCCTTTTTTAATCTTAAGTATCTAGTAATTTAAGTATAATTTTCTCTCGTTATGAGAATGTCGTCTCATCTATTGGTAGGTTTTTCTCTCTTCTCGAAGGAATAATAAGATCATCGGCTATATGAAAGATTGAAAGGCGGTAAGTTGTTTTGATAGAATACTCTTGTCCATTTTATGGAGTGAAGGATTTACTCGTGAAAGTTTTATTGAGACAACGATTCGCGCTAAATTTTCTGATTTTTACTATTAAATGTTGAATTATTTCACCATATATAGAAATTTGTTTGGTTTGTTTGATATGTTTTTGGTATTGAGAGTATATATTTACAATATTGTAGTCTTGTAGATGTCTCATGACTTTGTTTAATGTATGGAAAATAGTATTCTCTCCGTTTTTTTAGTGTCTCATTAGGACCGAGTCTACTTTGATCAATGTTTGTGATTTATACATAAGAAAAATATAGTTTTGATGGTACTTAATTGGTGAAATCGTCTCAATGAATAATTTATTAATATTCAATTGTTATATTTTTATTCATTGATAATTAAAGATATTATATATTGGTCAAAATTCTGTATTGACATATCACATATGTATCAAGTCTATATGGAACACTTAAATAGAAAAAGAAAACAGAGGGAGTTTGACTCAGATATGATAGTCAGATCCAATTCCAGAGGAACTCATATGTTGTTAGTAAGGCCGAAGTACAAGTGTACAACACATTCAACTTAAAAACATGCAAGGCTGTAAGCCTATTATCTAGATAACACACTAAGTTATACCAAAAAGCCCAATATTTTAGAACTATACAAAATTGTGTATAACTCCAAACAATACAGTTTGACTCTTGAGACGCCTGCATTGACTGCTTGACTTAGGCTGAAGAATCACTGAATCAGCCTCTAATACGACCACCTATCACTTTGCCTAGCCATTCTGTGCTTCATGCAACCATCTATCAGACTATCACACTATGTTCGTTTCAATACTTGATGGTCAATCTGCGACAGCGCCGCGCTACACACCCTTTCCTCTACCTCCACCACCTGCTTAATACCTCTCCTACATGGCCTAATTTTCGACATCTCATCACTCAGACAAAATCAATCCATAAATCAATGACCAAACCGATACTACTATATACATATCCCTACATCTTTCAACACAATTCATACTCAAAAACTCATCATCATACCAACACACGTAAAAGAAAAAAAGAAAAAAAAGCAAAACAAAAATGATGAAGATGAAGAGCGTAGTGATAATTATGGTGATCATGACCCTTTTGGTGGGTACATCAATGGCAGCTGGCGAATGTAAGAGGGGTAGATGCTCCGGGGGTCTGTGCTGCAGCAGGTTTGGCTACTGTGGTAGCGGACCCGAGTATTGTGGAGGTATTGTAGAGCAGCCTGAAACCAACTCATCTGCAGATGAAGTTTTCCAAACTCGGAAAATTCCTTCTGACGATGCTGCAACTAAACCTGGAGCTCCTTGAAGCTCACTGCGTACTAATGAACGAGACACTAGCTCAGCTACAAGAAATAATAATTTCCTATGGGAGTAGTTTTTAAATTAAAGTTATTATCGTTGTTTTTGTTGTTAATTACACGAATAAATGTAGTTGTAGCTTGTATCATTGTACGGTCGATATAAGTATATGTTAATGTTATATGCTTTTGTTATAAATGTGCCACATGCACGTTTGATGTTATGTCTTGTATTCTATATGAAAATATATTAAAGATAATAATCCACGTCCATCTCAATATAGTAATCCTTATTAAACAATGATAACCATAAGCTACTTTGAATATTGCTTAAAGTGACAGTGTTGTTAAAAATGGAATTCAATTTACGTAGTGATTTACCTAGTATGAGATGCAAAGTTTACAATATAAAATTGTACTTCGTAGTCCATACTAATTGCCCAAATCAAAACTCTATTATTGAAAACAATATAAATTTTTTTATAACAATCTTGTAACAATAATGATAACATAATTACTTATCATAACAAAGCAGCAATTACATATAGATAGTTACCATTGTTTTAACCTCTAATACCAACAACTTATAGACTTATAGTAATACCAAGTTGATCATCATAGTTTTACATTTTACCATCTACAATAATTTATCTGATGCAATTTTCATTATGGTCATTGAAATTAATTTGTGAAACAGAGTGAGTGTAAGCTTTATGCATGGAGACTAAATTTGAGGTGTGAATCTTGTTATCATGGCAGTGTATCATTATTCTGTTTCACCAAATGCACATCATGATAGGCTCATAGCAAATTATTCGCCCTTTTTATTTGTGAATGATAGTATAAATCAATCATAAGTTTAACCTCTTATTATTGATTGATTTGGTTCTTTGATATGCATATGTAGTATCAAGAGCCAACATAAAAACAGGGGTCATGCATTGAAATCTCATCAACCCTTCTGTTCCAAGGTGGATTATTAAAATTGCTACTCACAATTGCGCATAAACGTCAATAGCCACTAATTCGTACAACTTATGGCCTAAATAAAATTAGTTAAAGGCGTATTCGACAACATATTTTAGAGTAGCTTTTAATGGTGTCACAACTAAAGTTTGTTTGTTTTTCTCCTAGCAAGGAATTTTTTTTAATTTTTTTTTCTTACTTCGTGTGTGTAGGGATACAAATTTGGAAGATTTGTCTTGCAAATTCGTAGAATTGCTTGTCTGTTGGTATAGGGTTGCAAATTTGGAAGATTCGTCTTGCATATTTGTTGAACTTGATGACCAATCAAGCTTAATCACTTTTGCGACTATACATCAGCAAAGCTCTGTAAAAAAATACAAAGACGTCTACAATTATTAAGGAGCAAT